ATGCCTTGATAAAACTGATGAGCTTATTTGAGAATGTTTGAGAATTTATTTGTACAGGTGATTTTGAGTATTGTGAGAGCTTTTGAATATCTTGACCTAGGTGATGGGTCAGTTAAAACTTGGTTACAAGCCTGATTAGATCTCATAAGAGCTCACTGATAACCTCCTCAGAGTTTGCATTGTGAAGTCTCTTACTGTTTTTATTCTTTATATTTGAGGAAATATACATTGTACCTTTCTTCTCATTAGAACTGCTGTTAGTTTTGGAACTGTTTCTTTGTTTGTTTGTTGTCTTTGATTTTGTCGTTCGTTTCCCCCCCCCGCTCCCCAAATTCTTATGCCCCTGTTTCAATTTGTGGTTCTGGGAAGGATTCTGGGAGAGGTCATATGAAACAGTGTCTGCAAACATTAAAGGCAAATCTATTTTGGTTTTTATTTTGTCTCTTTCATCCTAAAAGCATGCCAAGAGTGGTCATAGGAGCCTTATGGAAGTGTTGGTGTAGAGTGGAGAGAGTGGTTAAAAACAGTAAATTGCATCTGTGGGCAGAAATAGAATGCTGACAGAAGTTGAGTGCAGATTCCAGTGGATTTAAAGATGCACATTTTTTCATGTGGCTGCCTGCACAGTCACATCCTCTCCATTACCTTCTTAAAAATGTTCCTTTTTCTTCATGGCAGTCTTTGGATCTTATTCCCAGTTCAGCTGACAGGACCAAGGTTGCTGCCTACTTTTTTGGTTGAAATAATGGCTAGTGGGAAAGAGAAGGCATGGTGCTGGAGTATAAAGCCACCGATAAGATTTTGTACTTCCAGCTGATAAGCCCTAGTTACTGGATGGGGAAATCTACAAAAGAGCTGTTGATAACCGCACTTTAAATGACACTGGAATAGCAACACGTAAATGACTCTCAAACTGTCACTGAGTTGGGGTTGCGTGGTTGTGTCCCTTGTCCCTTCAGACTGACAAGTTCCACAAGGCGGGCCCACATGAGAAAGGGTTCCTGTCGGCAGAGACCTCAGGGGTTTCCTCACACCTGCCTGTAGCCACAGCGTAGTACTATGGCAAGAGGATGCAGTAATTAATAAATAATAAGATATCCACATGCATATAGGAGCTAAAATATAAAATTGACAATATTTATTAAAATACACCTAAATTAATGTTTATTAAGACTAATGCTTCAGGTCTTTGCAGTAACACGAAGTAATAAAATCAAGTTCACTGGTACTTCTACAAATCAACCCTTAATTTTACTCTTTTAAGTAGCATAAAAAGAGTTTAAAAGTATTTCATACTATAAATAGTTAATCAGGATGCATTGGGACTAAATCTTTTCCTGTGAGCAACAGGCAGATGCTGCTCCCCAGCATTTTAGTCGTTGTTTAATGCTGGACTACCTCTTATGATAACTAATTTTTTCTCTTTAGTGAAAGAAGGGGTTTCTGAACCATCAGAGCAACTGGCCCCTAGGAAGGAAAGAAAGCAAGCTAATAAATTAAGTCAATGGTAGAATGTAGCAAATTGTATCAACTAGAAATCCCTACTTAAAATTCTCATTACTCAAGAGTCTGGCAGAGCCACATCTAGCTAAGTGGTTTCTGTTCCCTACAAAGGCTGAAAGTGTGGCTTTTGAAGAAGAAATGTCACAAGTGAAGCAGGTATTCTGCTTAAGGTCTGGCTTCAAATGGGCCTCAGAGTGCTGGGGAACAGTCTGGACAAGCTGAAGAGGGACAATTCATTCTGCAAGAACCATCAGAATTGACTTTGGAGTCCCAGCTCTCTGTCTTTACTTAACTGGCAGTATCAAGAGTTTTACCCAGTTCACACTAAACAAAATGGGGAAGTAGCAAAGGATAGTATGGGAGAGAAGTCTTGATAGTGAATACATTTTCAGTTAATGTATCTGAGAAATAGATTTTAAGACATTTTTTATTTTTATTGCATATGTGGTAGGATAATAAATTAGGATTGGACAACATTGACAGGTATCTCAAGCATTTTTACAAGCATAAGCATCTCAAGCATAAAAATGGAAATAATACATGATACCTACAGGATTTCTTTGAGGGAATAAATAGATGTAGCTATTGAAATCCTTTTCAGCATGCTATATTTCAATGTTTATTTATTTGAACCATTACAAGAAGTGAGATAATTCCATCCTTGACACTGTATATTGTTTTTCTAGTTAGTAGAATAAGTGAGTGGGATCTTTTTCTGTCAGAGCGTAGGTATTTCTGTCCTGAAAAACTGCTAGAACATGGTCCACAGGGCAACATGAAACTTTCATTGATCTACCTGTGGTGGAGAGTCTCCTTGTACAGAACTATTTCAGTACATTAAAGTGCCACATCTACAGAGTTAACTGTGTGTCTGATTTCTTGATGCCCCTCTTGAATCTATAATTTTAAAACTTTACCCATTTCTTATCCTAGAGTTGGAATGTGTGTACTTTTCCCTCACAAAGAGAGGTTTAGAGTGAATTGTAGAATTTTTCAGATAAACAGCTTTGCCAACCTGAACTATGTTGAACATCTTTGGCTTTAATTCCTGGAGGGAAGTCAACAAATTCAGCCAGTAGCTTATTACATGTTTACTCATCTCACAGAGAGTCTTTGAGAGGACAACAGTATATTATGTTTTCTTCCAGGGATATGGCTCTTAGTCACAACTTCCTCTTAGTTCTTGGAAAAGATGATAGATTATCTGGTACCTAGGTTAAATCAAGTTCATCCCATTTCAGGACTTTTCTTTATCAGGCCTCTTCAGAAGGTAAGATTAAAGTATACTGTCTTCATGGAAAAAAGCTTGGAAAGGCTGGATGCCTACAGAGTACCAGCACTTAAAATCTCTCCCTGCCTTCTCTTGGCTAATTTTTATTTCTATGGAAGTCTCATACATCATGTCAAGAATATGCAGCTATAAATATTCCTTCAATATTTCTCTGTTGCAAGTTGTAGTGTACAATTGAAGTGCCTGATGTCAAGAACTAAACTCCGAGTCTACATGTGAGACATGATGCAAGACTCTTTGAAATAACCAGTAAACAAAACCCCATCAAATTTAGCACTTTGAGAGTCTTTAGAGACTTTTCCACAAGGAATCAGGTCCACTTAGATTTAACTGTGGGGTTTTTTTTTTAATAATTAAATATGGATTTTACTGGCACATAGGCAGAGAAAAGGTAGGCATTGTTGTCAGCCTGTGGAAAGAATACAGTTTTGTCCTGTGCCTGGAGACTGCACAGGACTCCTCATCCTCAGTGAGCATCCATTGCACACATACCTGCCCATGCTTCCATCAGGGGCATAAAGTCAGGGAGAGAAATACAGGATATGTTCCTGCTTATCTTCTCTTTGTGTATCCTCTGGGGACTTCAGTACCAAATACAGATGGAAAGCAGCAGGCAGCTGTAGCTTTATGGGGGGATGCACCTCTCTTCTACTTTCAGAAGAGGTTCCTTTTATCTAGGTCAATCCACTGCTGTATTGAAGTGCTTGTAGCCTGTGATGGGCTGGCCTTGGCCAGCTGCCAGGCACACTATGCAGCCTCTCTCTGCACTCCTCAACTGCACAGGAGGAAAAACCACAACAAAAAAGCTCATGGGTCAAGATAAAGAGAGGGAGATCAGAAAGCCAATGTGATCTCATCATTCAGCTATGTTCAGTTCTGATACCCTTTGTCAGCAAAATGACATTTCTGTCATGAGGGCAAGAAAGCAAATGAAAAGAATGATTGCACACTACAGCCCCAGGGGTTCCCAAACTATTGGGACTGTAGAAATCTAGGTATGAATTTGTTATGCCTGTAGAAAACAGATCTGGTGGCTTAATGTTGGTCTGAGCTGCTCAACAGCACTTAACACCACATCAGCTAAAGAAGGAAATGTGTTGTCTACTAGAGGAGAGCTTTGTTTTACTTATTATATTGAAAATACAGAAGACAAGTATGAAAATGAGAAAACAAATGTCCCTCATACCTATGCCAATCTCAATTTGGCTGTCATTCAGATTTTCCCTCTGGAATCTCTGTGGAGGCTTGGGGGCTAACTTAAGAAATGCTGCCTCCTGGGAGCTGGTTTGCAAAACAGAGTTTGGGGTTGTATTTAGCCACAGGGACCAAGAAGTCAACTTCTTGTCATTCTGCTTCCTATATTCTGTCATTTGGAGTCAAACTAATAAATGGGCTACCAGTTCACTATTTTTTTTACCCTGGCTTTCTTGCCAGGGAGATTTTCTTTTGAGATAGACACATCCCTCTCCTTATATTTTTTTTTCTTCAGAATTTATTTCCTGGTTCTTAGTGTGCCCCAAGAATGCAATTTCTGGCTTATGTGAGATATATCTGTGATAATGTGTGGTTCTTCTTTCCCCGTTCTTTGAGATTGAGATATAGAAAGCAAATGCAGCAAATTACTCCTTCTCCTTTGCTGAGATTGTCCTTCTTTTCCAAACTCTTACTATGAATTATTTACCATGATCCACATTCACTGTGCACAGATCTTATACATCTTATCTCTTTATCCCTGGTTCTCAGCTTTTCATACATTATGACTAACTGAGTGGACATGAGAGCACTTGTTTTCCTGGATGCAGGAACCTGGATGAAGTGACTCAGCCCCATCTCAGAGCAAGCGTGGGCCAATGTTTGCTTTGCTCCTTCCACTGGCACAATGACATCCAGGAAGGGCTCAGATCTGTGGTCCAGAGTGAGCGGTGGCACACTCTGGGCAGGGTCCACACCTGGGCAGCTGTGTGTATGTGAGGCATACCATTGCCAGCAGACTTGATGTAGCTGCAGAGCCATAGCAAGGCAATATTACTAATATAAATCACAGGTCCTGCATTTAGAGTGGAGGTTTTTCATAACTTCTGCAGAGTAACTCTCCTGTCTGCTCTTTGTCAGTTTTGGTGTTTCTACTGTCATAAGTCTCAAACTGGAAATATATTAGTTGTAACAGCTCAGTGAATCATTCTTTTTCTTATGTTTCTTTTTGCAGATGGCCTAGTAGCTGAAATTGAGAAAAAGATTACAGAAGCTTTTGAGGTGTTTGACCGTGAATCCAATAAAACTGTGGATGTCAGGTTTGTAAATATATTCACAAATATATTACAGAATCTCAATAGAGATAAACAGCTCCCTAAACTGGTGTCTGCTTTACCAGAAAATGTAATAGAAACAGTTCTTTTGGCCCTGTTTGGACAAGTATGTTTGTAGTGGCTTGACCTTGGATGGATGCCTAAAAATTCCTGGATGCTTTTAATTCTGGTATTTTTAAAGATTGAATATTTGACAGTGCTACTTGAACTTAATTTTAACATAAACATTCATACCGGTATAACTTGTGTTATAAAATGCATAAACCACATGTTTACCTCTCAGGGAACAGGTTCTGAGGTTATAAGCTGTTGTCATGAAAGTTTACTGGAGTAGTTTTTCATATTTACAATTACTATTTTCAAAATAATATCCTTTTAATTATAAATCAGTTATTGAGTAGAAACTCTACAATGGAGTGTGAGAACTGGTGAAATTGTTGTCGTTAGACATTCTGCATGAAGACAAATTGAAAAACATATTTAAACATTTCTGACAACTTTTCTACATTACAGAGAGGAAAGGGAGGTGCAAATTATTTATGTGATGGTTGTAGCAATGCATGCTTACTAATGCCTCTAAATTTAAGAAATTGCAGGTATTTCGTAAAAGTAATGGTTTTTCAGCTATACCCGATGGGGAGAATATCAGGATATGTCTCCATACTCAGTATAGTTGCTGTTCCCTTGTCCATAGGGGAAAGTGGTCTCTTAAATCTCTCGGTCCGTGCCCAGGGAGGAGCCTGATGCCCAGGGCTGGGACTGTCCCGGTGTCCCCTGGTGCCCTGCTCCTGTCTGGGCTGTAGGACGGGCCCTGGCTGCCCGGCCTGGGGCAGAGCCCCACCAGTACCACCCCCAGCCCTCACTGTAGTATGGCATACTCACTGCTTGTTTGTTTGTCATTTACATCTGCAGTCTCGGCTAAACAGCTGTAGAACCTTCTGCACTTCTCCATTATATATGGATGTACAGCTTGGGAGCGTGTTACAACAATGAAATGATACAAATAGACTCTTTTAAAAATGTATTCGTTCAGACAGGGAACATCCAAAAGTCTATTTAATGTAGTAAATGCACAATTTCACATTAAATTTTTTTGTAGTACAGATGCAGACACTGAACAAAAACTTATAGTCTAATTATACCTAGGTTCATATTGCAGGGCTGTATCACAAATGGGATTATTAATAGCTGATTATCTTGTATCAGAAGGTGGCAGCACAGCACAATTCTTAACCACAATTTTAGCTGTGTCGGTATTAATGCCTGAAATATCAGATATCCGTGAATAATGAAAAATGATACTGGTTTGACAGGCCAACATTGGTATTTCATGACTCCTAGTTCAAATTAGTAAGAAATTAAGCATGAGGAAGATGGTATTTTTCCATGCATATTTCATGTCACTCAGTCAAGGACTCTTGTGATATTACAAATCTTGTCATTGAAAGTGTTATATGCAAGGTGAAAACCATGACCCAAAATTTTCATTGCATCTGTGTTACAAAACTTGTAACTTTGATTTTAACTATCGTTTTTGTATTCTAGTAACTACACAGCAGAAACTGCAGCTGCTGAACTAAGTGGGAGGAAGGGGCTGGGGGCAAAATAGTTTCCTATTTCCTTCCAGGTCCTTTAAACTCCATGTTATTACCAAATGAGTCCTGACTTTTTTTACCACAAGCACTTCAAGCAACATTCTCGTGCTGGCATGCAGGCAGACTGCCAGATAGAGCATCCAGCAGTGCCAGATTTTGCAGACTCTTCTAGGGTCTGACTTACCTCAGTCACATCACAGTTCTGCTGGGTGTGAGTGAAGTGAGGCAGGAGGTTGATGGCAGCATTCCCATCCCTGGCAGTCTGTGAGAACAGAAATAGTGTGGGACAACAAGGAGGCAGGATTTGTGTTGGATGTTGCTCTGGTGGAGGCAGGGAATAGTTACAAGTAGCTGGAAAATATGAGGGAGTGCAGGAGTGAGAACAACAAATGCAATATTATACAAACTAGAAGTAGGATGCATGAACAAGGATTATGTCTAAATGAGTGACTTTCCAGAGGCCATTGGCCATTCACACCCACAGTGAAGAGTAGATGGTTTCATTTCAGAACACATGGATGTGTGAGATTGGGTTTTGCTCTGCAACTAGTTTTGTGCAGCCAGCCTTTTTCTCTCTTTTGTCTATTTTAGTGCTTCTCACATGTTTTCAGTCAGAATGAGAACTCCTTGGGACCAGTCTGAGGAGGTCATCGATTTATACATATAACTTTGCATATGCTTGGTGTGCTGCATTCAGGGCCTTATTATTGTAAGAGGATTTTACAAAGATCATTCCTCCTTGTATCTACCATTTTTATTAGGCAATCTGATTTTTGCACAAAATGGAAACCTACTTTCTTTACCACTGGTCAAGATGAAGGAACTGCACATGTTTGGATCATGGGAACAACCAGCACTGTGAATACATATTCAAATGTGATTAAATTCTGTGTTGTTGAATTGAATTGTAAGTCACAAGCTATATTAATGCTTCTGTTATTTTGTTTTTAATCATACAATAAGGCTCAGTAAAGCTTTATTACAGCCTTACAATAATTTTGTTTCTAGTCTGTGACGTTGTTCATCTTAGACTACTTTGAGGCATTGCCAATTTAGTCAGAATTTTATTTAGAGGCTCAGAACAGCTGCACCAGGTTCAGCAAGCTATGAATATATTTATGGCATAAACAGAGTGGTGATAAGCCACTTTGTTGCTCTATTTGACTCTCTGAGAGCACAGCATGGACATAGCAGGGCTGCCTTCTTCCTCACCTTTCGTAATTGTTCTTTAATGCAGTTAGAATTTGTATATTTATAGCATTTAATGGAAGTATGCATTTTATTTGTTACTTTGCATCTCAGTAGAATTCCAAGTGATTTGTTAACTACATATATATATAGACTTTACTGAAAATAAGCATTACAATTAGAGAACAGCAATGTAAAAGTAACTTGCACATAGTACAGTGCAACACAATAGTAAAGAATTTTTTGGGAAATTGCAAGAACAATTTCAAGGAGCTTCAGAATATTTTATGTCTGAAAAAGTAGACATTGCTTACTGAGACATCATTTTAAAATTCCACATAGATTTTTTTTTTGGTGCTTTTATGTGCACACTCCTATATTCAAGCTCAGAATGGTATCTGTATTCTCAACAGTCTTGTATTGCAGACTTATTAATAAAGATGTTTTCTTTCTTTCTTTCTTTCTTTCTTTCTTTCTTTCTTTCTTTCTTTCTTTCTTTCTTTCTTTTTCCTCTTCTCTTCTCTTCTCTTCTCTTCTCTTCTCTTCTCTTCTCTTCTCTTCTCTTCTCTTCTCTTCTCTTCTCTTCTCTTCTCTTCTCTTCTCTTCTCTTCCAGGGAGATTGGTTGCATTGTCAGGTCACTGGGTTGCTTCCCAAATGAGGCAGAAGTACAGGAACTGATTGCAAAGGTAAATGTTTAGATCTGCTGTATTTTTTTCAGTCTTCAACTTGAACAAGTTTGGCCCTTCTGTCTTGCTGAATGGGAAACCTAAACTCTTTTCCGAGATGTTGGAAGTGTAATGGAAGTGTTTCCAGCAGACAGTCTGGTAGGTTGCCCTGAAGCAAATCTTTAGGCTGATGACATAACAATGTTGATGGGTTAAAATGAGGAGTCTTGGACTCTTTTACCCAAAGGGGGACTGTGATACTGTGCCAAGGTGGAGGGACATTTATAGAAAATGGAGGAAAAACTGACTGATGAAAAATAATGTTTTAAACCTTGGTCAGATATCCAAACTCTAACCATCTCATTCTTTTGGACATGCCATGGAAACATTGCAGGGTTAGGTAGTAAAAATTAGTTCTTGAGCAGGTATTACACATCACATTTCAAAAATACCCAGAGGGAAAGCCTGCCATTTTTTGAACTAGGTCCTGTTATTGCTATCTTATAGCAGACCTTTCAACATTCTGTCCTTCATGAGGTCTTTCTCAGTCTTAAGATTTCTGAGTTATAGGTGAGAATCTTTTCTTACTTGATTGCTTAAGCTTGTAAATCAGGCTTCAGGACATAAAACACCACACGACCTAGTGGTGCTCTCATTCTCCCAGTGGTAGGCAGTTGTGAGGTAAGGAAATTAATCACATTTCTCCACAGTCTTTTCCTACACTAATTTTTGTCTCCTTACATCATGCTTGTAATAGAAAAGTGGTGTGCTGCTGTCTTGGCATGGTGTGATTAATAAATGGGACAAAGAAGTGGGAAAAGGACTTCACATTCTCTTTGCAAACAGGCATGCTGCTTTAAGGAGTGAACAGTGCTAGAGCTGAGAGGTGGGGTAAGGATTTTTCTCCTATTCTTGTGTAGGTCAGGATACCATGTGGAATGATGTCTCATACTGTTTTCTTCCTGATCCAACAATAATTTGGATAGTTGCAGTAATAGTCTCTCCTCACTAGACTTGTCTGGCCTCTTGTAGATCTGAATTTAGTGTGGGAAGTCTTGCACTAAGTCTTGTGAAAATGATGCAGATGCTTCACATGAGGAAGTGCAAAGAATCACTAGAGGAGAAAGCTCTTTTCACATGATTCTGCAATCTGTCTGCTCTGGTTCTGTACTCTCAGAACCAGACTGTCCCAGCTCCCACTGACAAACAAGACAAAATGGAAAGAGAAATTATGGTGCTTAATATAGATGAACTTTTTAGTGTCCCACAGTGACTCTTCTTTACAGCAAATGAGCAGTGCAACTCCTCACTGAAGACACAGATTTGAGAAACCGGGATGCTTTGACAACCCTGTTCAAGTCCAGGGGAACCAGGAGAATTTAAGGCCTGTCTCGTCCTCTGGAAGAGATTCAACTTACTTTTTTTCCCCCCAATTTTCAATATTACTCAAAAAATGTGAGCTAAGTAATACATAAGAAGTACAGTGCAATATAACCACAAGGTAGAAGATCCTTGAGATAGAACAGTGTAACATGTATGAAAATGCTGATTGTAAGAATATTAAAACACAAATACTGCAACAAGAAAGAATACATTCAGAGTGATGGTTAACCTTAAAGAACATTGCACTGGAAAATAAATAGCAAATAATGTTTCATGGTGCCTGTAAATGAAGCTTTGGCATAGATTTAGTACCAGAAGAACACTATCTTCTTGTGGAACCCTTCATATATTATGATAATCACAAACATATCTTAATTTATGTAAGATGCAGCTATAATTTGCTGTGGTAATACTATTTAATCTTAATCTAGATAAGGTAAAAATTGTGTCTGTTAGCCAGTTTGTAACTGAGCTATTTCCCCAGTATTGTTGCCCATTGTGAGCTGTGATTAATTTCTGTTTCTCACTACTTGTGTCTCTGTCATCTCATCTTCCTATTAGCCTTATTGCTAAACTAGCACATGCTCCCACCACGTTATTCATATCTGCAAAATCAGCATTCATACAATTATGTTATCTCTATAAATTATCATATAATGCTTCTTATATTGCCTTATACTCAATTCTGTACTTAATATCGTATCTCTAGGCCTACTTACAAAGACAAGATTAAATGCTAAATCTAGAGATGGTGGAAACTTACCTAAGGGTTACTACAATGCCTGGAGTTCGGTACAGTGCTCTGCCTGGTAACTCTGGAAGATGTTTTTGTTTCTTAGTGTTTCAAGTACCCCAATGTTATGGCTGGGAGAACAGAAGTACAAAACATAATAGATGCTACAATACAGTTGTTATGGGAGCTGTGGATGTGCCCAAAGGAGAGAAATTGAGTGAAACTCACAGAGTCTGAACAAGCAAATACTGTTACTGTGAAAAGAGGAGGAAATACAGAAAAAGAAAAACATCAGTGAGAAATGAGGTGTAGAACAGGAGTGAGCATGAGGAAGAGTAAGAAGTGTTAGAAATAGGATTAATTTTAACTACTCAGGGTGTTGCTGGATCTATAGAGACTCTGAAATGGAAACTGTTTGTTCCACATCAGAGGAAGCTGAGGTTGCTGATCACCTCCCAGGACAAGGTTTTTCCAGGTATTTTGTTACATCTTTTCAATCAAGCAAGCAGCAAAACAAGTGATTCTGTAATGGTAAAAGGTTCCATTTGGTTTAGAATGAAGCACACAACATCTTCATTTCCTTGCTGAAGATCTTTTCTGCTAGGCTCACCAAATAGAAGGGAAAATGTGTTTTTTCAAGCCAGTTTCCACTCTAAAGCAGCAAGACGTGATGGCTCTCTTCTCTTAGCACCCAGCCCCCTTCCATAACACTGGAAAAGAGCATGCTGCAGCAGTTGCAGCTTTCCATTTAGGCAATTGGATGTATCAGGAACTGCCCCAGCTCTGACCCAGCTCCCAGGAGGAAGATTCCTTACCAAGTTTTTCCTGGCTCAGTTAGAAGATTTCAAATCAGTGCCTGTTTGAGTTTTCTTTCAATCTCAGCTGTGTCTCAGGGGGCCTAGCAAGGTGTTGCTGCTGCCATGTGAGACCTCAAGGCATGCATCCAGTTTCAACACAGACAGGAACAGGCAAGCTCAATTAACAGGACTACTTTTGGGATCAAAACTTAAAATTTTCAGGGAAGGGATGCACCCCAATGACAGAGAGCGGTTTTTACCATGTTGCTTATCTCCTGTGGAAGTATAGGAATGCAGTGAGAATGCTGCTAGAAGTTCCCAATGTTTTGGGACTAATTTGTTTCCTTTTTTGGGTAGCATTTTATAGGCTGCCTTATGGCTGTTTTGGTCCTGACTCAGTCTGCCTGCCTCTCTGGTCCTTCCCCTGACAGCTCTCTTAAACTTTCTTTCATGAAACATGAAAGCAACAAATTCCATCATTAAGGTGCACTTGACTGGAGCTATATCCAAGCTAGCTAATTAAATATGCCCAGAAACATCCTTGGGTGTTGACGCCAGCAGGCACAGAGCAGCTCATGCCCGCCCTGGTAAATGCTTTATGCTGAGTGGCTGCACCAAGCATCCTGCTGGGGAAAAGTCCTTAAGGTCCAAGCCAGTATCTGCTGGGGGAAATGTTGGGTGGCACAGTTCAAAATCATGCCAAGGGAACATGCTCATGGTTTACTGTAATGAGTGTTCACATTACACTGCTTGGGAAAGCTCCAGATCTTGATAGACTTTACTAGTGTGGCTTGAGCCTGAATGTTTAAACCTCTGCTGAGTTATTGTGGCAGATAAGATCAGTTCCTCAGTGTCTGGTTCCTTTGCATGAATGGTTTTGAAGCACAAGAGGGCAATATTGAGTTGCTGCAAGTGTCTAATAGCAGACCTGTATTTCCCTGGGATAGTAGCTGTTCCTTGAATCTCTTACTATTTGATCACAAGCCTTTCACTCAGATGTAACGGTGCCATGTGATATCAAAGACCTGATGTAAATATTCAAAGTTTAATGCTGTAATTTTCATGCAGGGACCACCCCAATTTCCTGGTTTTTGGGTTAGTTTGCTAATGAGTCTATACCTTGCCACACTTAAGTTTTATTTTTTAGATAGAAGTAGAAGAACCGGGTGGATTCGTTCATCTGGAAAAATTTCTTCCAGTGATGACAAAAGTTCTACTTGATAGAAGGTAATGGAAAGTGAATTTTATGTGTCTGTAGTTTATTCCAGATTGATAGGGTTGATTCTGAAAAACATATCTACAGAAATTTTATGTAACTGGAAGGAGTATAGATCTTCTTTGTCCTTTATACTCATTTTACATTAGCTATATAGATTTTGTTTCAAAATTAGTTCATCTACATTAAATTATGTAGTATTGGTGATATAAATAATACCAGCTTATAATCATAATTGTGATAGTATGTAGCTTTTGTATTTTTAATTGGAATCAGAATTGCTATTCAACACGCTTTGTGTACCTCTGAAATATTTTGTATGCAAATTAATGTCATAACTATTGCTTTCTCTGAACATATGAGTTACAGTTACTGAGAAGCACTGAGTGTTACAGTGTATTCTAAATAAGTTGTGTAAACAAGCTTCATATTCATGTCTTAAAATGACTGCCAGGTACAGCTGGATGTACACAATTAGCGCTCTAAAAGACTGCCCATCTAAAAGTGGTCACAAAGGTGCATAGAAGTCTTTGCATGTACACAGGGACTTGTGCTATTTTGACATTTTGTACTAAAGCAAGATCATTTACTAGGAGTTTATCTTTCATTTTAAAGATGGTCATTAAGGCTTTTGAGAAACTCAGTCTTGTTCAATCCTGAGAAGTTATTTTGCACACAGAGGGCCTTTGGTAGGAGGGTGTTCTACACATGAAGTAGCTGTGGCTCTGCACTGATGTTCACCCTTTCACAAAATCATGCCTTGCTGCTCTGGGCTCTTCTCCTCCTCCTCCTCCACACCCCCTTCATGCAAACTCAAACACACACACACACAAACACAAAAACACCCCTGCACGCTTTCCCCAGACTAGTGCAGGCTTGTCAAGACCCACTTCATCTTTTGGGGCACTGTGTCCATAGTTCACTTAAGCAAGGGTACATGAGATTTGGATCATAAAATCCAAGGCTTCTTCTTAGCACATTTGATTTTTAGATAGTAAAAGACTGAGGCGGGTCCAGACAAAGCACTCAAGCAGTTAGAACCTCCCTGGATTCAGCTCCTTCTCTTTAGTATTCTGGGGGTTTGTTGAGAGCTTGCTGGGATATGGAGAGTCTCCATTGCTGCACTGAGCTTGCTTTCCTGCTCTGAAATCAAGCATGCATATGCATGCACACACGTGCCCAGTTCTCCTCTCTCTCTGAAATTGTTAGTGACAGACCTTTTATAGCTACCAGCCTACTTTGCTCATCATCAGCTCATTAGGCTGCCCAAGTCCCACTAGGTGATCTGTTGCCTAGCTACCAGCCTACCTGGACAAAACTTTGTTTTCTTGGTTTGTCCATTTCTGTTCAGTGCATTGGCTTTGTAGAATGATTCAGCTGTGGCTGATTCCTACTAACCCACCAAGCCAGCCCAGGCATGCAGAGGACATTCATCTGGCTCCTCAGCACAAGGGAAATTAAGCAGTAGTACAACAAAAGATGTAAGAGTAAGATGTTACAAAAGATGTAATATGGACAGTTCGAAAAGGTCAGGCTGCAATTAAATGTTTGATAGACAAAACTTAGTAAATTCTCATGGAATATAAGCCTTCCTTTCCCTTAGTACTCATATTTCGTTTTTTCAGAACACCGGCCAACACTAACTTAACTTTTCTGATTCCATGGTTTCAGATTCCGACCTATTCCAGAAGATGTTATTCTACATGCATTTGAGGTCTGTAACAAAATATTCAAGTACCTAATTGCTGGGAAGAAGTTGCTGCTTTTTGATACAATAAGCTTAAAACCACAATATTTATTCTTTTTCTTTAAAGGCTTTGGATGAGAATAAATGCGGATATATTACCAAAGAGGACCTGGTCAAACATTTGACTGAAGAAGGTAACATGACTTTTGTAATATCAGTATTTAAGTAAAAAGCATTACATATGTATATGGCACCTTAACCTGCAGGCCAAAACCTGCAGGAGTAGATACATTGTCTTCAAACAATGCTGTTGCTGTGATGAGTGGCTGCAGACTAGGACATTTCACTGGTCAGTGATGCAGGGAAAGAGCATTTATCTGCCTGCTTGCAGACATTATAGAATAGAGATTTTTATTCTTATCCTTATTTGTAATTCAGTCATGTCTGGATATTTTGTGATTCTGTGCTCACTAAGTATGTGACTCTTTTGCTGTCCTGTAAAATTGCAGCTTAGATTTCCGGATGTTTCAGTGGTTTCAGTGCTCATTCATTCTTTCATTATCTTGATCTTAATTCTAGAGCCGCCTGCAAACAAAGAGATTCAAAGACGAGATTTAAGTTGTACATTCTGTAATCCTCAATATCTCTTGAAGAGCCTGCTTTTCTTGTGTGGCTGACTCATGCCCACCTGCCTCATGTTCAAAAGGGTGTGCAGGTTTTGTGCAACACCTAGCATCAGATGGTAACCTGGTTTTCTGAGAGATGAAGTAGGCCATCAACAGCTTTGAAGAAAAAAAACAGAAGTCTTTCATGATGTGAATAGAAGTGCAAGGATAGACAAATGAGAGATAATAATTCTAATCTACACAGGAGAAAAATTGACAAAAATGGTTGTTTCAAAATCCATGGCAGAGAGGAACAGGCTGTTTTGGTGTTTGTGAACTAGAAGATCAGATAGATCCAGACCATCTGTCTCCTTCCTTTTAGACTGGCTCACTTGGTGTGCAGGACTTATATTGGCAAAAGGGAAGGAATAAGATACTTAGTTTTGTTCCTTTTCTCCTCTGTGTGAGAATCAAAAGGAGATCCTTTCAAGGGAAAGGCAGCGGAATTTGCTAGTCCTTGACAGGATACTTACCGAGATAAAATGTTATTCTTTGCTGTCTTTCAGGTGAGCCCTTTACTCAGGAGGAAATGGAGGACATGCTTGCCGCTGCTCTAGATCCAGAAACAGATGTTCTTCACTACAGAGATTACCGTACAAAGCTGGTAGTAGACGAAACCAAGACCTTCCCTTTTAATATCTGAGATGCCTTTTGGTAACAGCACCATGGCTTGACAGATAGTTGAAATATGTATTTTAATGTATAACAAAGCTCAGCTTGTCACTTGGTGCTTATAATTAAAATGAAATCTGTGTAGTTATGTTTCCTTGGATTCTGTGTGTGTATATATATATACATATAAAAATATATTCACACCTGGAAAAAGTGCTCTTGACAGAAATACTGTGTAAGGTCTGGAAAAGAAATAATGGAATTTTGTTGGAAAATAGCAGGAAAAATAATGTTAATGAAGTTAAGAAATAACTTTATGATTGCTTTTGAAAAACTAAGAGAAAGTGAGACCTATGAAAACATGTAATAAGCAGGTAAGTGAGTATCTTAAGGTGACTAATAATAAGATGAAGCTTTTATATTTAACTGTAGTCCTTGTCTATGTTTAACTAATAAGGAACCAGGTAGGTTACACCTTTTGAAATAATAGATCAAATAAACTTTCTATAATTCTTAGTGTTTTTCAAATATTTGTGTTTTGTTTACCATAGGCAATTGAACTGGACTAGTTAGTTCCAGTTTATATTATTAATCTGCTGACATGATATTTTACTTTCATTTTAAACGTGCAGAGAACACTCCAACCATTTCCATAGTAAACCTAATTCTTGAGAACATTTTGGTTACTATAGGCAAGGAACAGTTCCCCTTTTGTAACCAGTTTGAAAGTCAGTGACTTCAACTCTTCAAAACTTAGGATCACAGGATGAGAATTTGATTTTCATAAACTGATGAAGGACCATTTTTGGAAAGGTATTAGTGTAGAACAGATGTCTCAGCTTTTCCTGCTAGCAGACCACCACAGACGTCACAGCTCTTCTTATTTCCTGGTTGATAATTTTCTGTTACTGTACTGCTGTTCTTTAACTTGAGTTCAAGTTCTTTCCCCTTGAGTTCTTGCTGTACATAATCTTCTAACACATGACCAGCAGCTGACGATTTCTCAGTTTGTAGGAGATTCTGTGTTTTGCTCCTCAAGAGTAGCATCTTGTACTTTGTACTCCACCCCATTTCTGTTTTACTACTCTTTATCAAGTTTGCTTTCCTCCTGTACTATTTTCTACCCCTCCTTTGTTCCATCTGCATATTCCAGCTCTGTGTCATCCACAACCTTCATCAGCTGATGAAATCTAGGGAAGACTGACACAGAGGGGCACTGAGTGCCTCACTCCCTGTCATGCCTATCTAGTGGCAGTGCTGAGAACAGAGCCTAGGACCCCTCCTCATAACAGGTCTTTTGTCCTACCCATTTGTTTCCTTTGGGCTGGAAGCTCAGACAAACTGTTTTCATGCACAGCTAAAAGTGACCTGCTGTGCTTCACAAAGAAGAGATTAGCATGATCTAAATGGGGTGATGGAAGCAGTCTGAAAGAGACCATTTTTTTGATTCAGTTTTTACTTCTCTAACCCAAGCTGTCTTTCACTGATACTTGCTTAAACAGCAGGACAATGAAGAATGAATGCAGGTAGACAACATTTGCCCAGGTTCTAAGCTGCATCTGGGAAACACTGTTGCGCTGCTCCTAAGACTCAGCAATGCATTCTGGTTTAAAACATTTACTGTGTGTTCCAACTTCATTGCCAGTGAGAAGGAAAAACAAAGGCTATCATTTGTGTTACACTGGGGGAAGACACAAGTTTTTAAGATTGAAGCAAAAACAACAGAAGCCTATTAAGAAAATACATTTGTATTAGTCTTCTTCAATCTCTCTTTCAAAGCTGAAATTATTTTCTCTAGATGAATCTTTCTTCCTGTTGATGTGGAAGTGTGTTATACTGGATTTCTGACACAGGTGGTGTGAGTACAAGTTTCATTCATATGCAGTCTTGGAGTTCTTGTCAATGTCATCTTAGATACCAGCAGGAAGATGCTTATTTCAGAATATAATTTCATAGCTCCCAATGCTCCAGAGAGAGCACAATTTGTTTCAAGTGGTTTTTCCCTAGAGGCTGCCTCAGTTATTGCTGTGTCAAATCAGGATGTCCACATACAACACTGTTGCAATTCATAGTGCAGATAGGAGATTAACATGCATTTTTAAATAATATATATAATTTTTTATTTTGCAGTCATCAAGTGCAAGGAAAGAGGGTATTCTGGCAATTAAAAAGTGGGATTGTGATTGTGTCTGAATTTATTGTACAGCAGTTCTTCCGGTTCCATTTTCTTATAACCATCCCCAAGGAAGATATGTGCAAACAGGACAGACAAAAGCAAGTTGCAGTCTTCTCTTTGGGCATAAATAAGCAAATTTTATTGCCCAGAGAGTTTCCAAACTGGGAGTGAAAGAATTGTCAAGAACCAATCTCAGACTCTGTAGGATCCTAAAACCTGAGTGCGCTCTGCCAGCTAGGATGAAATAGAGTGATCGACAGGCTCGTGAAGCAGCTGCCCCATGGGTCACCCCAGAGGAGGCTGAGCAGTGGCCACTCAAGGCTGTTCCCTTGCCTGTGGTCACTCAAGGCTGTTCCCTTGCCTGTGGCCACACAAGGCTGTTCCCTTGCCTGTGGCCACACAAGGCTGTTCCCTTGCCTGTGCCTTTCATGGTTTGCCAGCCCATGGCCACCCATTTCCCCATGGCAGTGGTAGGCTGGATGAGGGACTGAGTGCCTTGCTTCTCTGTGCTCCCTGGGGATGAGCAGGGACCCCTACCCTAGGGAAAGGGAGAGGAGACTTCGGGAACCATTTTGGTGAAAATAAAACCCTCTTTGTTTCTAAATTTGAAGGGAAAATATGTTACTTTGTCCTCTTCTTGGAGGTGAACAAATTGAATTGCTGAGTGGTATTGAGCTGTCTCTTATGACATGCCTCTCCCTGCTGGCTCTTTTGCCTCTTCCCTCAAGATAGGAACCAAGGTAAGGGACTGGAACAAAAGGACAAATCTCCAGGGAGGAGCCAGTGTAGCACCTGGATTTCACACAGGGACATAGAGCCAAGGCAATGAAGAAACTGGGCAAGTCGGAGGGTTTTTTGACCTAATTGAAGGAGGGAGGGGGAAGAGAACTCATTATCCAGATGTAAAAAAAGAAAACAAAATTAAAAGTAGAAGAAATCAAAGAAGCAAACACTGGAAACCATCTACACATACAACTGAATCAGCAGGCTGTTTACATCACTGTTGTGAATTGTAGGCTGGACAAGACTTTACTTGTTTACAATTTTAAGTAAGTTCAGCTGTGCCAGGCCATATCTGGTGTATAGTGGAGACCTCAGTCTTATTGATACTGTGGAGGAATTCTTCTAGCTGCTGAGCTTGTGTTTGGAAGTACAGTTGCTCATATTCCAGGTAATACATTGCTTTTTGTGTTTCCTTCATCAGCTTTGAAGTTGCTTCTCCAAAACACTCCTCTCTGTTAGTGGTAGTCCCATATATATTCACACCTGAAGACTTCAGTGTTTTTGCACTGCAGTGCATACCAATGTGATATTTGCAGCTGTTTGAGACTCTCCACTGGCTCTGGGCAGAAACAGAAGTTGCAGGACTTCCTCCACCAAAATGCTAATCCAGCATCAGAGCTGGGACTCCAGGGAGAGAACTGGGCTGTTCATCTGTGCACCTCCACCCATGATATTACACGGGTAAGAGCCTGTAAAATGTTCAGGCTCTTAGCTCTGTTTAGGAAATAAGAATTTTCTACCTTTTTCTCTTGTTTCAGTTGGTCTTTTCTCTTGGTTGTCTTATGTGTCATTTTGTTAATACAGTTGCGTGATCTTATGAGGATTGAAAATGCAGGAGAGTTTTCTCTGCCCCACACTCCTGGGCACTGCTGCACTCCCTGACAGCTGGCTGTATCAGGGTGGGATTTATCACTGGTTCTAGACTTGTTACCACTGAAATCAGCATGGGCAAAGCCTTCATCACAGGCAACAGGAAGAGCCTGGTCCTTCAGTTTCATGGGGGAAGTGGCTGGGGATGCTGGAGTTCAACCAAGGCTAGGATGGGCACGGGAAGTTAGGATGTTTTAGGTCCAGTAATACACTGTTATAATTGTGTGAAAGCAGGAGAGTAGTCTTGACAGTGACAGGAGGTTGGCAGACAGGTTTCATTTTGAACTTTGTGAGAGGTATTGGAAGCTCACACAATCTCTTGCTTCCTGATCTTTCCATGTATAAAGTCAGAGGAATTATAAAGAATAGGAGACAGGGAGTATCTTGCAGGGAGTATCAGTACAAGTAGTCTTGCCTACTTGTTTTGTGACTTTTTGTATCATTAATTCTGATGTTTGCACAGTGTTTTGTACTATGATGGTCTGATTGAAATCAGTGTCTACAGACCTCCCTGTAACATAATTAATAAAGTTCTCAGCCTTCAAGTCTTTTGTCCCAGACTGTATGTTCAGGTCTCAACTTCTAAACAGGTCAGTTCACATCAAGTATGTTTGTTTTTCATTGCACACAACTCTATTTCATAGTATCTCATGCCATGATAGGTTTGACTATAAAAATAGCTATTAAAATGTCTGCTCTAATTGTTGGAGAGTGTTTTTGGCAGGTCAGTACTAGGCATGGGGACTATGCTGATTTAAAAGCTAAAGAAAGATGTAGGTTGAAACAAAGCAGATTCTCCCATTTAACCTATTTTGAATCCCTGGGGCTACTGTTTGGCTTAGTGTAGTTCTGAAAGCCAAGAAAATGTTACTCACTATGCTCAAAAGATTTATCACAGCATTTATGTCCTAAGGCCCAAATCCTAAAGCTCTTATTCAGAGAGAACTCCCATTGACTTCAAAGGGAATTCTGTCTACAGAAGAGCTTCAGAAATAGTGATGCACTGGCTCACAAGGCACTATAAAAACTTCTTAGTCTCTTTAAAGAAGACTTATCTGTCAAAGATCCAACAGATGTGTCCAACCAGCTGCAAGTCATGTCATTGAAATGACCAAAACTGTAAAACCGTGGGTGTAAGTAGTTAATTCTTGTCTATAGTAATGCAAGCAAGAGTGAGCAAGAGTCAACAGTCAGAACTTTTC